CCTTTTGAGACGTCTCAAAACAGTTTTATCAGAGCACACCTTGCCAGTTCTTTTGTTGTTTGTGGCTCTCTCTGGTGCCTGTGCTCCGTTGGTGGGATGTAGTGGTGTCAGTTTTCTGTGGTCAGCTGGAATCGGAGCTTGTTGAAGCCTGTCAGGAGGAGCAAGTGTGGTGATTCCTTCTGAGGCCCTTTACCTGTCCTTGCCACCGTCACCCCAGGTAGACGTGTGGTTGTAGCTCCTCTCTGGTTTTCCTGTGCCTTTGTGTTGGTGGGATGTGCTGGTGTGAGCGTTTTGTGGTCAGCTGGAGGTTCAAGCCTGGCAGGAGCAAGCGTGGTCCTTCCTTCTATAACCCTTTCCATCTATCCTTCCACCATCAGCGCAGGTAGATCTGCAAAACACGCATTGCTGGTGCAATTCCTGGTTGTAGGCTTGTAGCTTCCTGTGTCTTGTTGTGCTGCTCTCTTCATGTGGACAGCTGGAAGTCAAGCCGCGTCTGGAACAAGCGTGGTGATTCTTTCTGTGACCCCCTTCTGTCCGTATCACCATCAACCCAGGTAGTCGTTTAGAGCGTGCGTTTGCTGGCGAATTCGTTTGTTGTGGTTGCTGTGCCCCTGTGTTGGTGGTTGTGGTGTTACTATTCCCTGGACAGCTGGAGGCTAAACCGCAACAAGTGAAGAAGCAAGCATGGTGTTCTTTCCTTCATCCCCTTCCTAGTCTACCCATACCACACCATCCGCCCAGGTAGTTTGTTCAGAGCACTGCATCCGCTGGTAGTGGCTCTACCCTCGTTTCTGTGCTGCTGTGTTGGTGGGATGTGCTTGTGTGAATGCTCTGTGGTCAGCTGGAGGTTCAACCCTGTCAGGAGCAAGCACGATGGATGATTTTTCCAACCCCTTTTCTGTCCATATCACCATCAGCCCAGGTAAACGTGCACGTGAGGGTGTTTTTGAGACGTCTCGCTACACCCTCACTACACGCTACACCCTCACTACACGCTACACCCTCACTACACGCTACACCCTCACTACACGCTACACCCTCACTACACGCTACACCCTCACTACACGCTACACCCTCACTACACGCTACACCCTCACTACACGCTACACCCTCACTACACGCTACACCCTCACTACACGCTACACCCTCACTACACGCTACACCCTCACTACACCAGGTAACGTGCACTGCACGCATCGCTGGTGCCTCACTTGTAGCTCCCTGTGTCTTGTTGTGCTGCTCTATTCATGTGAACAGCTGGAGGTTGAACCAAGCGGTGCCTTATTCCTCTGACCGTTGTGCCAACGCACATTCAGTCCAGGTAACACGTGTACCTGGACTGAAAGTGCGGTTGAACCAAGCGGTGCCCTATTCCTCTGACCGTTTTCCTAGCCTTGCCACCTTCAGTCCAGGTACACGTGTTACGCACACATGGCTTGTGCATTTCTTGGTTGTGGCTGCTCTTTGGCTTTCCTGTGCCTCTGTGTTGGTGGGTGTGGTGAATATTCAAATGTGGACAGCTGAAGACTCGACTCCTACAAGTCAAGGAGCCAGCTTGGAGGTTTTTCCTTTTACCACTTTCTTGTCTGCCCCTGCCACACCATCGGTCCAGGTGTTGTAGCGCATTTGTCACTGGTGCATTTGCTGGTTGCTTCTCTCTGGTTTTTGTGCTGGTGTGTTGTGTATATTCTGTGGGCAGTAGAAGGCTCAACCCCAACAGAACCCCAAGAAGTGAAGTAGCAAGCCTAGTGGGTTTCCTGTCTCCCCTTTCTAGTTTGCCCATACCTCTCCGTCAACACAGGTAGTTTTTCCACAGCACACGTTGCTGGTGCATGTGTTGGTCATGGCTCTCTGTTTCCTGTGCTGCTGTGGTGGTTTGACTATCCTGTGGACAGCCGGAGGTGCAATAATGACAAGTGGAGGAGCAAGCATGTGTGCCTGTCTAAATCTTCCATTTCCAACAGACCGGTCCAGGTGAAAGTGCATAGCGCATACTTCTGTGCTGCTGTGTTGGTGGGATGTGTTGATGTTCCCGATCTGTGGACAGCCGGAGGTGAAACCATGACAAGTGGAGGAGCAAGCATGAGTGTCTGTCTGAATCATCCATTCCCAATATCGCCACACACCGGTCGAGGTGAAAGTGCATAGCGCATGTTTCTGTTGCATTCGCTGGTTGTCGTCTCTGGTTCTGTGCTGCTGTTTTGGCGGGATGTGTTGGTGTTCCCGATCTGTGGGCAGTCGGAGGTGTAACCATGACTAGTGGAGGAGCAAGCATGGAGGGGAGAAAGCATGGTGATTTTCTTGCAGATTGTTCCTTTCTGCGCGATTGCTGCCCGTGCAGTCTTGCTCTCACGCCTCTCTGTCTGCTACTGCTGTGTCCGCTGTGTCCCTGTGATGGTGGCCTGTGTGTCAGGCAGGACAGGTTCAAATTGTCATCTCTTACCTTCCCTCCAGGTGCATTTGCTGCTTGTGCAGTTGCGTCTCTCTTGCCACTTTGTCTTCTGCTGCTGTGTTTCCTGTCTCCTTGTGATGGTGCGACATGTGTCAGGTAGTGGAGTGAAAAGGGGGGAAGCGAAGTTGCCAGTCTCCGAAAATGCAGCTGCCTCAACTTCTGTTTCTTCCTCTGTGCAAAGCAGGTTCTGAAGGCTTGCTCTTTTCGTTTCCACAGTTCTGTTGGTTCTTGAAGTCATTGGGAATGGTGCTGTGTGGTGGAGTTGTCTGGTGGTGTTGTGTTTGTGGTGCTGTGCTGTGGCTAGGAAGCTGGGGAGGAACCAAGGTAAAAAGCTCACACTGCATCCTCTTCTCATTCCAGGTGTCTGTATAATCGTTCTTTTTCTGTGCAAGCACTTGTTGCTACTAGGTTGGCGTTTTCCTTCTCTATTGTAGGTCTGGTTCCTGTGTTTCGTGGCAGGTGGATAAGCACATGTATTGCCAGTGCTGGAGGAGAGGAAGAGGGATGGTGTTTATTTAACCCTTTCACCACTTCACATTTTCCCGTCTCCTACCCTTTCTTACCCTATTTCTGCCATACATATGCATCTCCATACATCCATCCCTGCATGCATGCATGTATTCATGCATATACCATAACTGTGCATGTATGCATACATCATTTATCACCCTCATCTACCTCATAATACGTCATATGCATGTACACCATCCATCTCCATCGCCGGACAATGATGAGGCAACTGCTCTTGGATTACCCACTCAATTGGTGGGATATTGCTGAGTATACCCTCCTGGGTATGCACAGCACGCCATACTGTTGTCACCCTTCATGGAATGGGGCCTTGGCTCCTTCCTAAGGGTAGATGTGGCATTCCAAGGCAGCAACCTGAGTCCATTACTATTGTTTTTTACAGTGCACAATTGAAAGATTGGTATTTCTGGTATTGTTAGTTTCTGTGCACTTGGTTGTGATGGGTTACTGTGTTAGAAGTTTTGTACGTTTTTTGTTTGTTATGATGGTGTATGATTCTTGGTTGTGGTGGTAGGGTATTGTGGTGGATGTTTTAGGTTTGTTTCTTGGTTCTATTCTTATCTTCTGTTGATTGGAGTATCCATTGCTAGTACTGATTGTTTGCTGGCAGTAACGTTCCAAATAAGGTGTGCTTGTATACTTCTGTGCATTTGCTGCAAGTAATTTGTTTCCCAATCTACAAGCTCTGACTAACATTGCATTTTCTGAGCATAGATATGGAAGTTAAAAAGTTGAGCGAACAACTTCTGCATTTTGTCCAGCCTATTAAAAAGTTTATACCTGCTAACCAACTGATGGACACTGCTCCCATGTGACAGTGGGGCAGACAGAGTGAGGAGAGGAGATAGTCAGGCGAGTGAGTAGAGAAGACAGCAGGATGATAAGGGAGAGAGTGTCTGTCATCCCGTAGCCTTCAGAGCACAGGCAGTGAGTCGCCAGCACCGAACTGTCATTCTTGGTCGACGTGAGGCAAGAAAAGAATGCAAGGGCCATGTGAGGGCGAGGCAAGGTGGAGGGAGAAAAGAATGCATGCATAAAAATACATGCATTGCGATGTGTGCATAAAAGTGCATGCATTGCGATGGGTGCCTTAACACACAAAAGCGAACAGCCATACTCACTCACCCCACAGGCAGACAAGCTCTCCATTTTGGTCCGCCTCACAGTGGCTGTCAGAGCCACAGCCCAATGCCAAACACTCCGCTCTTCTTGCAGCTCACAGGCAAGCAGAGGCTTGTGAATGGCCTGCAGCACACAGGCAAGGAGGGTTAGTGAATGGCCGAAGGAGGTGGCATTTCAGTTCTTGCAGCTCACAGGCAAGCAGAGGCTTGTGAATGGCCTGCAGCACACAGGCAAGGAGGGTTAGTGAATGGCCGAAGGAGGTGGCATTTCAGAAACGTACCTTTCAGAGTCACGCCCTTCAGAATTACGCCCTTCAAATTACACCCTTCAAAGATGTCGTTCCAGAAGATGTCACCAGCGACCTATGGCACATCATCCTGCTCACCGTGCCGTCCTGCTCGCCTACGATACACCATCCTGAACCACTGTAACATACGTTGCCTTCATCGTCTGAGCCACTGCAACGGGCAAGGGAGAGGTTGTGCAGAGAACGGTACAGGGACGACGTGAGGGGAGATGACGTGAAGAAGAGGCGGAAGAGTTGACAGAAAAAGACCAAAAAGCCGATGCGAAAACAGCCAATGTGAGAATATAGACTGACCAGCGATGAGGGAAAGGGCGATGAGCAGCAGGCCGGCAGCAGTCAGTCCCGCAGAGGCGACCGTCGACCTCATGGTGGTACAGCGGAAGATACGGCGAAGAGGCGGCGGAAGAGACACAGAGGAGACGGCGGAGGAGACAGACAGTTGGAAACATGAGCGTTTGTCGAGCGAGTCACGGTGGAGGGTGAGGAGAGGAGAGAGTAGGGCGAGTGAGTAGAAACTGATGGGGAGGAGAGGAGACAGTGGGGAGCGTTTGTCTGATGGGGAAACTGATGGGAAACTGATGGGGGAAACTAATGGGGAAACTGATGGGAAACTGATGGGGAAACTGATGGGAAACTGATGGGAAACTGATTGGAAACTGATGGGGAAACTGATGGGAAACTGATGGGAAAACTGAGGGGAAACTGATGGGAAACTGATGGGAAACTGATGGGAAACTGATTGGGAAACTGATGAGCCCGTCGAGCAGCACCTTTACTGCGAATCGGTTTGCTTCTCCCGTACATCCGACCAAGTTGTCGGCGTTGCCCAAGCGAGGGTGGGGCGTCAAGTTTGAGGTCAGGTTTGACGTCAAGTTTGAGGTCAGGTTTGACGTCAGCTTTAACGTCACGTTTGAGGTCAGGTTTGACGTCAGGTTTGACGTCAGGTTTGACATCAGGTTTGACATAGGTTTAAGGTCATGTTTGATGTCACGTTTGAAGTCAGGTTTGACGTCATTTTTGAGGTCAGGTTTGAGGTCAGGTTTGACGTCAAGTTTGAGGTCAGGTTTGACGTCAGGTTTGATGTCAGGTTTGAGGTCAGGTTTGACGTCAAGTTTGAGGTCAGGTTTGACGTCAGGTTTGAGGTCAGGTTTGACGTCAGGTTTGAGGTCAGGTTTAAAGTCAGGTTTTACGTCAGGTTTGAGGTCAGGATTGAGGTCAGGTTTGACGTCAGGTTTGAGGTCAGGTTTGACGTCAAGTTTGAGGTCAGGTTTGACGTCAGGTTTGACGTCAGGTTTGAGGTCAGGTTTGAGGTCAGGTTTGAGGTCAGGTTTGACGTCAGGTTTGAGGTCAGGTTTGACGTCAGGTTTGAGGTCAGGTTTGAGGTCAGGTTTGAGGTCAGGTTTGAGGTCAATTTTGAGGTCAGGTCTGAGGTCAGGTTTGAGGTCAGGTTTGAGGTCAGGTTTGAGGTCAGGTTTGACGTCAGGTTTGACGTCAGGTTTGAGGTCAGGTTTGACGTCAGGTTTGACGTCAGGTTTGAGGTCAGGTTTGACGTCAGGTTCAGGTTTGACATCAGGTTTGACTCAGGTTTGAGGTCAGGTTTGACGTCAGGTTTGAGGTCAGGTTTGACATCAGGTTTGAGGTCAGGTTTGACGTCAGGTTTGAGGTCAGGTTTGAGGTCAGGTTTGAGGTCAGGTTTGAGGTCAGGTTTGACGTCAGGTTTGACGTCAGGTTTGAGGTCAGGTTTGACGTCAGGTTTGAGGTCAGGTTTGACGTCAGGTTTGAGGTCAGGTTTGAGGTCAGGTTTGATGTCAGGTTTGAGGTCAGGTTTGAGGTCAGGTTTGAGGTCAGGTTTGACGTTAGGTTTACGTTAGGTTTGAGGTCAGGTTTGACATCGAGTTTGAGGTCAGGTTTGACGTCAGGTTTGAGGTCAGGTTTGAGGTCAGGTTTGACATCTAGTTTGAGGTCAGGTTTGACGTCAGGTTTGACGTCAGGTTTGAGGTCAGGTTTGACGTCAGGTTTGACGTCAGGTTTGAGGTCAGGTTTGAGGTCAGGTTTGAGGTCAGGTTTGACGTCAGGTTTGAGGTCAGGTTTGACGTCAGGTTTGAGGTCAGGTTTGAGGTCAGGTTTGAGGTCAGGTTTGAGGTCAGGTTTGAGGTCAGGTTTGAGGTCAATTTTGAGGTCAGGTCTAAGGTCAGGTTTGAGGTCAGGTTTGAGGTCAGGTTTGAGGTCAGGTTTGACGTCAGGTTTGAGGTCAGGTTTGACGTCAGGTTTGACGTCAGGTTTGACGTCAGGTTTGAGGTCAGGTTTGACGTCAGGTTTGAGGTCAGGTTTGACGTCAGGTTTGACGTCAGGTTTGACGTCAGGTTTGAGGTCAGGTTTGACGTCAGGTTTGACGTCAGGTTTGAGGTCAGGTTTGACATCAGGTTTGAGGTCAGGTTTGACGTCAGGTTTGAGGTCAGGTTTGAGGTCAGGTTTGAGGTCAGGTTTGACGTCAGGTTTGAGGTCAGGTTTGAGGTCAGGTTTGAGGTCAGGTTTGACGTCAGGTTTGAGGTCAGGTTTGAGGTCAGGTTTGACGTCAGGTTTGAGGTCAGGTTTGACGTCAGGTTTGACGTCGAGTTTGAGGCCAGGTTTGACGTCAGGTTTGAGGTCAGGTTTGACGTCAGGTTTGAGGTCAGGTTTGACGTCAGGTTTGAGGTCCAGTTTGACGTCAGGTTTGACGTCAGGTTTGACGTCAGGTTTGAGGTCAGGTTTGAGGTCAGGTTTGACGTCAGGTTTGAGGTCAGGTTTGACGTCAGGTTTGACGTCAGGTTTGAGGTCAGGTTTGACGTCAAGTTTGAGGTCAGGTTTGGCGCCAGGTTTGAAGTCAAGTTTGAGGTCAGGTTTGACGTCAGGTTTGACGTCAGGTTTTTCGTCAGGTTTGAGGTCAGGTTTGAGGTCAGGTTTGAGGTCAGGTTTGAGGTCAGGTTTGAGGTCAGGTTTGAGGTCAGGTTTGAGGTCAGGTTTGACGTCAGGTTTGAGGTCAGGTTTGACGTCAGGTTTGAGGTCAGGTTTGACGTCAGGTTTGACGTCAGGTTTGACGTCAGGTTTGACGTCAGGTTTGACGTCAGGTTTGAGGTCAGGTTTGAGGTCAGGTTTGAGGTCAGGTTTGAGGTCAGGTTTGACGTCAGGTTTGAGGTCAGGTTTGAGGTCAGGTTTGAGGTCAGGTTTGAGGTCAGGTTTGAGGTCAGGTTTGAGGTCAGGTTTGACGTCAGGTTTGACGTCAGGTTTGACGTCAGGTTTGACGTCAGGTTTGACGTCAAGTTTGAGGTCAGGTTTGACGTCAGGTTTGAGGTCAGGTTTGAGGTCAGGTTTGGAGTCAGGTTTGACATCAGGTTTGAGGTCAGGTTTGACGTCAGGTTTGAGGTCAGGTTTGAGGTCAGGTTTGATGTCAGGTTTGAGGTCAGGTTTGAGGTCAGGTTTGAGGTCAGGTTTGACGTCAGGTTTGACGTCAGGTTTGAGGTCAGGTTTGAGGTCAGGTTTGAGGTCAGGTTTGAGGTCAGGTTTGAGGTCAGGTTTGAGGTCAGGTTTGACATCAGGTTTGACGTCAGGTTTGAGGTCAGGTTTGAGGTCAGGTTTGAGGTCAGGTTTGACGTCAGGTTTGAGGTCAGGTTTGACGTCAGGTTTGAGGTCAGGTTTGAGGTCAGGTTTGACATGGAAGGTTCGCCCCCGAATGGAGGTTCGCCCCCGGATGGAGGTTCGCCCCCGGATTAAGGTTCGCCCCCAGATGAAGGTTCGCCCCCGGATTAAGGTTCGCCCCCGGATGGAGGTTCGCCCTCGGATGAAGGTTCGCCCCCGGATGAAGGTTCTCCCCCGGATGAAGGTTCGCCCCCGGATGAAGGTTCGCCCCCGGATGAAGGTTCGCCCCCGGATGAAGGTTCGCCCCTGGATTAAGGTTCGCCCCCGGATTAAGGTTCGCCCCCGGATTAAGGTTCAACCCCGGATTAAGGTTCGCCCCCGGATTAAGGTTCGCCCCCGGATTAAGGTTCGCCCCCGGATTAAGGTTCGCCCCCGGATTAAGGTTCGCCCCCCGGATGAAGGTTCGCCCCCGGATTAAGGTTCGCCCCCGGATTAAGGTTCGCCCCCGGATTAAGGTTCGCCCCCGGATTAAGGTTCGCCCCCGGATTAAGGTTCACCCCTGGATCAAGGTTCGCCCCCCGATGAAGGTTCGCCCCCGGATCAAGGTTCGCCCCCGGATCAAGGTTCGCCCCCGGATTAAGGTTCGCCCCCGGATTAAGGTTCGCCCCCGGATTAAGGTTCGCCCCCGGATTAAGGTTCGCCCCCGGATTAAGGTTCGCCCCCGGATTAAGGTTCGCCCCCGGATTAAGGTTCGCCCCCGGATTAAGGTTCGCCCCCGGATTAAGGTTCGCCCCCGGATTAAGGTTCGCCCCCGGATTAAGGTTCGCCCCCGGATTAAGGTTCGCCCCCGGATTAAGGTTCGCCCCCGGATTAAGGTTCGCCCCCGGATTAAGGTTCGCCCCCGGATTAAGGTTCGCCCCCGGATTAAGGTTCGCCCCCGGATTAAGGTTCGCCCTCGGATGAAGGTTCGCCCCCGGATGAAGGTTCGCCCCCGGATTAAGGTTCGCCCCCGGATTAAGGTTCGCCCCCGGATTAAGGTTCGCCCCCGGATTAAGGTTCGCCCCCGGATTAAGGTTCGCCCCCGGATTAAGGTTCGCCCCCGGATTAAGGTTCGCCCCCGGATTAAGGTTCGCCCCCGGATTAAGGTTCGCCCCCGGATTAAGGTTCGCCCCCGGATTAAGGTTCGCCCCCGGATTAAGGTTCGCCCCCGGATTAAGGTTCGCCCCCGGATTAAGGTTCGCCCTCGGATTGAGGTTCGCCCCCGGATGAAGGTTCGCCCCCGGATGAAGGTTCGCCCCCGGATGAAGGTTCGCCCCCGGATGAAGGTTCGCCCCCGGATGAAGGTTCGCCCCCGGATGAAGGTTCGCCCCCGGATGAAGGTTCGCCCCCGGATGAAGGTTCGCCCCTGGATGAAGGTGATGGAAAGCGGGAGAATGGGGCGGGGTGACGGAAAGCGGGAGAATGGGGCGGGGTGATGGAAAGCGGGAGAATGGGGTGGGGTGATGGAAAGCGGAAGAATGGGGCGGGGTGATGGAAAGCGGGAGAATGGGGCGGGGTGATGGAAAGTGGGAGAATGGGGCGGGGTGATGGAAAGCGGGAGAATGGGGTGATGGAAAGAGGGAGAATGGGGCGGGGTGATGGAAAGCGGGAGAATGGGGCGGGGTGATGGAAAGAGGGAGAATGGGGCGGGGTAATGTATAGCGGGAGAATGGGGCGAGGTGATGGAAAACGGGAGAATGGGGCGGGGTGATGGAAGGAGGGAGAATGGGGCGGGGTGATGGAAAGAGGGAGAATGGGGCGGGGTGATGGAAAGCGGGAGAATGGGGCGAGGTGATGGAAAGCGGGAGAATGGGACGGGGTGATGGAAGCAGGGAGAATGGGGCGGGGTGATGGAAAGAGGGAGAATGGGGCGGGGTGATGGAAATCGGGAGAATGGGGCGGGGTGATGGAAAGCGGGAGAATCGGGCGGGGTGATGGAAAGCGGGAGAATGGGGAGGGATGATGGAAAGCGGGAGAATGGGGCTGGGTGATGGGAAGCGGGAGAATGGGGCAGGGTGATGGAAAGCGGGAGAATGGGGCGGGGTGATGGAAATTGGGAGAATGGGGCGGGGTGATGGAAAGCGGGAGAATGAGGCGGGGTGATGGAAAGCGGGAGAATGGGGCGGGGTGATGGAAAGCGGGCGACTGGGGCGGGGTGATGGAAAACGGGAGAATGGGGCGGGGTGATGGAAAGCGGGAGAATGGGGCGAGGTGATGGAAAGCGGGAGAATGGGGCGGCGTGATGGAAAGAGGGAGAATGGGGCGGGGTGATGGAAAGAGGGAGAATGGGGCGGGGTGATAGAAAGCGGGAGAATGGGGCGGGGTGATGGAAAGAGGGAGAATGGGGAGGGGTGATGGAAAGAGGGAGAATTGGGCGAGGTGATGGAGAGCGAGAAAATGGAGCGGGGTGATGGAAAGCGGGAGAATATGGCGATGTGATGGAAAGCGGGAGAATGGGGCGGGGTGATGGAAAGAGGGAGAATTGGGCGGGGTGATGGAAAGCAGGAGAATGGGGCGGGGTGATGGAAGGCGGGAGAATGGGGCGGGGTGATGGAAATCGGGAGAATGGGACGGGGTGATGGAAAGCGGGAGAATGGGGCGGGTGATGGAAAGCGGGAGAATGGGGCGGGGTGATGGAAAGCGGGAGAATGGGGCGGGGTGATGGAAAGCGGGAGAATGGAGCGGGGTGATGGAAAGAGGGAGAATGGGGCAGGGTGATGGAAAGAGGGAGAATGGGGCGGGGTGATGGAAAGAGGGAGAATGGGGCGGGGTGATGGAAAGCGGGAGAATGGGGCGGGGTGATGGAAAGAGGGAGAATGGGGCGGGGTGATGGAAAGCAGGAGAATGGGGCGGGGTGATGGAAAGCGGGAGAATGGGGCGGGGTGATGGAAAGAGGGAGAATGGGGAGGGGTGATGGAAAGCGGGAGAATGGTGCGGGGTGATGGAAAGCGGGAGAATGGAGCGGGGTGATGGAAAGAGGGAGAATGGGGCGGGGTGATGGAAGGCGGGAGAATGGGGCGGGGTGATGGAAAGCGGGAGAATGGGGCGGGTGATGGAAAGAGGGAGAATGGGGCGGGGTGATGGAAAGAGGGAGAATTGGGCGAGGTGATGGAAAGCGGGAGAATGGAGCGGGGTGATGGAAAGCGGGAGAATATGGCGATGTGATGGAAAGCGAGAGAATGGGGCGGGGTGATGGAAAGAGGGAGAATGGGGCGGGGTGATGGAAAGCGGGAGAATGGGGCGGGGTGATGGAAAGGGAGAATGGGGCGGGGTGATGGAAAGCGGGAGAATGGGGCGGGGTGATGGAAAGCGGGAGAATGGGGCGGGGTGATGGAAAGAGGGAGAATGGGGCGGGGTGATGGAAAGCGGGAGAATGGGGCGGGGTGATGGAAAGAGGGAGAATGGGGCGGGGTGATGGAAAGCGGGAGAATGGGGCGGGGTGATGGAAAGAGGGAGAATGGGGCGGGGTGATGGAAAGAGGGAGAATGGGGCGGGGTGATGGAAATCGGGAGAATGGGGCGGGGTGATGGAAAGCGGGAGAATGGGGCGGGGTGATGGAAAGCGGGAGAATGGGGCGGGGTGATGGGAAGCGGGAGAATGAGGCAGGGTGATGGAAAGAGGGAGAATGGGGCGGGGTGATGGAAAGAGGGAGAATGGGGCGGGGTGATGGAGAGCGGGAGAATGGGGTGGGGTGATGGAAAGAGGGAGAATGGGGCGGGGTGATGGAAAGCGGGAGAATGGGGCGGGGTGGTGGAAAGCGGGAGAATGGGGCGGGGTGATGGAAAGAGGGAGAATGGGGAGGGGTGATGGAAAGAGGGAGAATTGGGCGGGGTGATGGAAAGCGGGAGAATGGAGCGGGGTGATGGAAAGAGGGAGAATGGGGCGGGGTGATGGAAAGCGGGAGAATGGGGCGGGGTGATGGAAAGCGGGAGAATGGGGCGGGGTGATGGAAAGAGGGAGAATGGGGCGGGGTGATGGAAAGCGGGAGAATGGGGCGGGGTGATGGAAAGAGGGAGAATGGGCCGGGGTGATGGAAAGAGGGAGAATAGGGCGGGGTGGTAGAAAGCGGGAGAATGGGGCGGGGTGATGGAAAGCGGGAGAATGGGGCGGGGTGACGGAAAGCGGGAGAATGGGGCGGGGTGATGGAAAGCGGGAGAATGGGGTGGGGTGATGGAAAGCGGGAGAATGGGGCGGGGTGATGGAAAGCGGGAGAATGGGGCGGGGTGATGGAAAGTGGGAGAATGGGGCGGGGTGATGGAAAGAGGGAGAATGGGGCGGGGTGATGGATAGAGGGAGAATGGGGCGGGGTGATGGAAAACGGGAGAATGGGGCGGGGTGATGGAAGGAGGGAGAATGGGGCGGGGTGATGGAAAGAGGGAGAATGGGGCGGGGTGATGGAAAGCGGGAGAATGGGCTGAGGTGATGGAGAGCGGGAAAATGGAGCGGGGTGATGGAAAACGGGAGAATATGGCGATGTGATGGAAAGCGAGAGAATGGGGCGGGGTGATGGAAAGAGGGAGAATGGGGCGGGGTGATGGAAAGCGGGAGAATGGGGCGGGGTGATGGAAAGGGAGAATGGGGCGGGGTGATGGAAAGCGGGAGAATGGGGCGGGGTGATGGAAAGCGGGAGAATGGGCCGGGGTGATGGAAAGCGGGAGAATGGGGCGGGGTGATGGAAAGCGGGAGAATGGGGCGGGGTGATGGAAAGCGGGAGAATGGGGCGGGGTGATAGAAAGCGGGAGAATGGGGCAGGGTGATGGAAAGCGGGAGAATGGGGCGGGGTGATGGAAAGCAGGAGAATGGGGCGGGGTGATGGAAAGCGGAAGAATGGGGCGGGGTGATGGAAAGCGGGAGAATCGGGCGCGGTGATGGAAAGAGGGAGAATGCGGCGGGGTGATGGAAAGAGGGAGAATGGGGCGGGGTGATGGTACAGAGAGAATGGGGATGGGTGATGGGAAGCGGGAGAATGGGGCGGGGTGAGGGAAAGCGGGAGAATGGGGCGGGGTGATGGAAAGCGGGAGAATGGGGCGGGGTGATGGAAAGCGGGAGAATGGGGCGGGGTGATGGAAAGCGGGAGAATGGGGCGGGGTGATGGAAAGCGGGAGAATGGGGTGGGGTGATGGAAAGCGGGAGAATGGGGCAGGGTGATGGAAAGCGGAAGAATGGGGCGGGGTGATGGAAAGCGGGAGAATGGGGCGGGGTGATGGAAGGCGGGAGAATGGGGCGGGTTGATGGAAAGCGGGAGAATGGGGCGGGGTGATGGAAAGCGGGAGAATGGGGCAGGGTGATGGAAAGCGGGAGAATGGGTCGGGGTGATGGAAAGAGGGAGAATGGGGCAGGGTGATGGAAAGAGGGAGAATGGGGCGGGGTGATGGAAAGCGGGAGAATGGGGCGGCGTGATGGAAAGCGGGAGAATGGGGCGGGGTGATGGAAAGAGGGAGAACGGGGCGGGGTGATGGAAAGCGGGAGAATGGGGCGGGGTGATGGAAAGTGGGAGAATGGGGCAGGGTGATGGAAAGCGGGAGAATGGGGCGGGGAGATGGAAAGCGGGAGAATGGGGCGGGGTGATGGAAATCGGGAGAATGGGGCGGGGTGATGGAAAGCGGGAGAATGGGGCGGGGTGATGGAAAGAGGGAGAATGGGGCGGGGTGATGGAAAGAGGGAGAATGGGGCGGGGTGATGGAAAGGGAGAATGGGGCGGGGTGATGGAAAGCGCGAGAATGGGGCGGGGTGATGGAAAGAGGGAGAATGGAGCGGGGTGATGGAAAACGGGAGAATGGGGCGAGGTGATGGAAGCAGGGAGAATGGGGCGGGGTGATGGAAAGAGGGAGAATGGGGCGGGGTGATAGAAAGAGGGAGAATGGGGCGGGGTGATGGAAAGCGGGAGAATCGTGCGGGGTGATGGAAAGAGGGAGAATGGGGCGGGGTGATAGAAAGCGGGAGAACGGGGCGGGGTGATGGAAAGAGGGAGAATGGGCCGGGGTGATGGAAAGAGGGAGAATGGGGAGGGATGATGGAAAGCGGGAGAATTGGGCGAGGTGATGGAAAGCGGGAGAATGGGGCGAGGTGATGGAAAGCGGGAGAATGGGGCGGGGTGATGGAAAGAGGGAGAATGGGGCGGGGTGATGGAAAGCGGGAGAATGGGGCGGGGTGATGGAAAGCGGGAGAATGGAGTGGGGTGATGGAAAGCGGGAGAATGGGGCGGGGTGATGGAAAGCGGGAGAATGGGGCGGGGTGATAGAAAGCGGGAGAATGGGGCGGGGTGATGGAAAGCGGGAGAATGGGGCGGGGTGATGGAAAGCGGAAGAATGGGGCGGGGTGATGGAAAGCGGGAGAATTGGGCGGGGTGATGGATAGAGTGAGAATGGGGTGGGGTGATGGAAAGAGGGAGAATGGGGCGGGGTCATGGAAAGCGGGAGAATGGGGCGGGGTGATGGAAAGCGGGAGAATGGGGCGGGGTGATGGAAAGCGGGAGAATGGGGCGGGGTGATGGAAAGCGGGAGAATGGGGCGGGGTGATGGAAAGCGGGAGAATGGGGTGGGGTGATGGAAAGCGGGAGAATGGGGCGGGGTGATGGAAAGCGGAAGAATGGGGCGGGGTGATGGAAAGCGGGAGAATGGGGCGGGGTGATGGAAAGCGGGAGAATGGGGCGGGTTGATGGAAAGCGGCAGAATGGGGCGGGGTGATGGAAAGCGGGAGAATGGGGCGGGTGATGGAAAGCGGGAGAATGGGGCCGGGTGATGGAAAGCGGGAGAATGAGGCGGGGTGATGGAAAGCAGGAGAATGGGGCGGGGTGATGGAAAGAGGGAGAATGGGGCGAGGTGATGGAAAGCGAGAGAATGGGGCGGGGTGATGGAAAGCGGGAGAATGGGGCGGGGTGATGGAAAGCGGGAGAATTGGGCGGGGTGATGGAAAGAGGGAGAATGGGGCAGGGTGATGGAAAGAGGGAGAATTGGGCGGGGTGATGGAAAGCGGGAGAATGGGGCGGCGTGATGGAAAGCGGGAGAATGGGGCGGGGTGATGGAAATCGGGAGAATGGGGCGGGGTGATGGAAAGCGGGAGAATGGGGCGGGGTGATGGAAAGAGGGAGAATGGGGCGGGGTGATGGAAAGAGGGAGAATGGTGCGGGGTGATGGAAAGCGATAGAATGGGGCGGGGTGATGGAAAGCGGGAGAATGGGGCGGGATGATGGAAAGCGGGAGAATGGGACGGGGTGATGGAAAGCGGGAGAATGTGGCAGGGTGATGGAAAGCGCGAGAATGGGGCGGGGTGATGGAAAGAGGGAGAATGGAGCGGGGTGATGGAAAACGGGAGAATGGGGCGAGGTGATGGAAGCAGGGAGAATGGGGCGGGGTGATGGAAAGAGGGAGAATGGGGCGAGGTGATGGAAAGAGGGAGAATGGGGCGGGGTGATGGAAAGCGGGAGAATCGTGCAGGGTGATGGAAAGAGGGTTCGCCCCCGGATGAAGGTTCGCCCCCGGATGAAGGTTCGCCCTCGGATGAAGGTTCGCCCCCGGATGAAGGTTCGCCCCCGGATGAAGGTTCGCCCCCGGATGAAGGTTCGCCCCCGGATGAAGGTTCGCCCCCGGATGAAGGTTCGCCCCCGGATTAAGGTTCGCCCCCGGATTAAGGTTCGCTCCTGGATGAAGGTTCGCCTCCGGATGAAGGTTCGCCCCCGGATGAAGGTTCGCCCCCGGATTAAGGTTCGCCCCCGGATTAAGGTTCGCCCCCGGATTAAGGTTCGCCCCCGGATTAAGGTTCGCCCCCGGATTAAGGTTCGCCCCCGGATTAAGGTTCGCCCCCGGATTAAGGTTCGCCCCGGGATGAAGGTTCGCCCCGGGATGAAGGTTCACCCCCGGATTAAGGTTCGCCCCCGGATTAAGGTTCGCCCCCGGATTAAGGTTCGCCCCCGGATTAAGGTTCGCCCCCGGATTAAGGTTCGCCCCCGGATTAAGGTTCGCCCCCGGATTAAGGTTCGCCCCCGGATTAAGGTTCGCCCCCGGATTAAGGTTCGCCCCCGGATTAAGGTTCGCCCCCGGATTAAGGTTCGCCCCCGGATTAAGGTTCGCCCCCGGATTAAGGTTCACCCCTGGATTAAGGTTCACCCCTGGATTAAGGTTCACCCCTGGATTAAGGTTCACCCCTGGATTAAGGTTCACCCCTGGATTAAGGTTCACCCCTGGATTAAGGCGGCTGTGGTACACACGCAGCACGTGGAATGCATATAATCAAAAAGCAGAATTTCAAAGTGGCACAAGCAGATGTGTGCGGTGGAATGCGGCGCGGTGAGAGACTCACAAGTTACGAAGAAGAGGCAAGTTGCCAAGAGAAGGCGTGATTGGCCCCGAAAGGAGGTTGCTGTCCAGAGATCTGCAAGCAGGCAGATATTGGGCCGATTTTTTAGTCGACTCAAAAATCGACTCATCACACGCGGAAAGGAGGCTGCTGTCCAGAGATCTGCAAGCAGGCAGATATTAGGCAGTAAGCATCGAAGCAAACTATCAAACAAGGAATCAAGCAATCAAGCAATCAGGCAGACGGGCAGACAGATAAGGAACAGTCAGCATGCAGAAGCATTAAGAGTAATGTGACAAAAGCGAGAGTGGGTCAGGTGAAGGGGCATTACAAGAGAGTTAGTGTGGTGGCCTGCCCAATCTCTTGTGGTATGGATCCTGAGAGTTGGTTCAAGTGAAGGGCTTTTGAGTCGACTCAAAAGCGTAAGGAGGAGACATACAAGAGAGTGAGTGTGGTGGCCTGCCCTATCTCTTGCGGTATTGATCCTGAAAGTTGGTTGTTCTGGAGGTCACTGGAGGTAGGGGAGCAGCAGCATGGGGCGCAGGGGCACATTGTTTTTGAGACCTCCGCAGCCCACCTGTTTACCACTGACAGCATGGGGCGCAGGGGCGCATTGGATGATAAGACACTTGGTGACTTTTGAGTCGACTCAAAAGTCACCTGGAGGTAGGGGAGCAGCAGCATGGGGCGCAGGGGCGCATTGGATGATTAGTCACTTGGGTTTGGCTGCTGGCCTGCCCGATTTCTTGCGGTATGGAGTCCGCCAGTTGGTTCGACTGGAGGGAGGTCACTGAAGATAGACGACCAACCTATATTCATGGGAAGCAGGAATGTGTTGGAGCGCCTGCAGGCCCCTCCCCTCATTGACCCAATAGACGCAGGGATGTAGCGGGAGAGGGCAAGACTCATGGAGAGGTGACTTTTGAGTCGACTCAAAAGTCACAGCGCCTGCAGACCCTCATTGACCCAATAGATGCTTTTTGAGGCACCTCAAAAACAGACCCCTCATTGACCCGATAGATGCTTTTTGAGGCGCCTCAAAAACAGACCCCTCATTGACCCGATAGATGCTTTTTGAGGCGCCTCAAAAACAGACCCCTCATTGACCCGATAGATGCTTTTTGAGGCGCCTCAAAAACAGACCCCTCATTGACCCAATAGATGCTTTTTGAGGCGCCTCAAAAACAGACCCCTCATTGACCCAATAGATGCTTTTTGAGGCGCCTCAAAAACAGACCCCTCATTGACCCAATAGATGCTGGGATGTTGCAGGAGAGGGCAAGACTCATGGAGACTCGTAGGCACTCAAAGCAATAGCCTCGTAGGGGAGGGTTGTAAGCGGGTGCCTGCTCACTCACAGCGCCCAGAGGCTCCTCATTGACCCAATGGTTGCTGAGATGCTGCCCGTGAGGGAGGCGAGGGCACGGCACGACACATAGAGACTCGTAGGCACTCATAAGCACTCATAGGCATATCCTCATAGGAGAGAGTGGAGTAAGGGGGTGCCTGCCGCTCACTCACAGCGCCTGCAGGCCCCTCATTGATCCGATGGATGCTGGGATGGTGCCGGTGAGGGAGCTGAAGGCAAGACTCACAGGACGACAGAGACTTCTAGCGAGAGTGTCACGAGGGAAAGGAGTAAAGGGACGCCTGCTCACTCACAGCGCCTGCAGGCCCCTCATTGATCCGATGGATGCTGGGATGGTGCCGGTGAGGGAGCTGAAGGCAAGACTCACAGGACGACAGAGACTCCTAGCGAGAGTGCCATGAGGGAAAGGAGTAAAGGGACGCCTGCTCACTCACAGCGCCTGCAGGCCCCTCATTGATCAGATGGATGCTGGGATGGTGCCGGTGAGGGAGTTGAATGCGAGGCTCCTGAAGTTGCAACACAGGCAGGGCGATATGTTAATAACATGCAACAAGGGGTCCTTCTGAACAAGCAGGTCCTTCTGTTAATAACATGCGACAAGGGGTCCTTCTGAACAAGCAGGTCCTTCTATTAACAACATGCATGGATGCATGGCAGGAGGAGAATGGTATCCCATATTCACTACGAGACCGATTAGCAATACATAGTTGCACGCATGGCTGATGGTGAGATGAGTAAAGCCAAGAATCCTTTGACAGTTGACAAAGATGTGATGATACTGTGACGCCTATAGTTCTCACTCACACCAGCCGTCCCATCCCCACCACCATGCCCATCCCATCGCTCACAGGCGTGTGGCGGGGCGGCGTTGCAGCCGTGGATGCTTTGGGGGATGCTACCTATCACTCTGTTGACGTCAGGTTTGACGTCAGGTTTGACGTCAGGTTTGAGGTCAGGTTTGAGGTCAGGTTTGACGTCAGGTTTGACGTCAGGTTTGACATCAGGTTTGAGGTCAGGTTTGACGTCAGGTTTGACGTCAGGTTTGAGGTCAGGTTTGACGTCAGGTTTGAGGTCAGGTTTGACGTCAAGTTTGAGGTCAGGTTTGACGTCAGGTTTGAGGTCAGGTTTGACGTCAGGTTTGAGGTCAGGTTTGACGTCAGGTTTGAGGTCAGGTTTGACGTCAGGTTTGACGTCAGGTTTGACGTCAGGTTTGACGTCAGGTTTGACGTCAGGTTTGAGGTCAGGTTTGACGTAGGCATGGGCAATTGACCCGGACGGGTCGGGTTACCCGACCCGTCCTGCCCTTTTGGGCGGGTCGGGTCAGTCATGCCGAGCATGTCGACCCGTCCGGGTCGGGTCGGGTATACCCGGACGGGTCGGGTCGACCCGTGACCCGTCTACGTCAATTTTAGACGGGTATTAGCGACCCGCCGGGTCGGGTTGACCCGTCCCGTCCGGGTCGCGTATCTAGTCAAATATAGGGTAACCCGACCCGTGATCTGATTAGGGTACAATTTGTTGAGGGAGTGAACGTCACTTGGTTTCTTCTGTTTTGTTTCCCCCTCGACATTCAGAGGGTGTCTCAATGTGACTGGTCCGCGCGGACCTGGTCCGTAGCTTAAATTTGCACCTTGGTCCGAAGTCTGGTCCGACGGACCCTTCTGGCAGACCAGCCGTGGACCAGAAGCGGACTGGTCTGCTTGATGTGTTGCTACAGTCGCTGCGAATTTCAGTAGTGACGACGAAACAATTATTTACTGAAATTGAGTTACCCTTTTTCATGTGCTCGTTTGAAGCTTTCCGAATAATCTTGTGCGAAAAGCACGAGAGTTAGAGAATTCGCAAAGATATGTTCGTGAGAATTCTTGTTTATGGACCAGGTGCGGACTGGTCCGGCGACCAAATCGAAGGCACCGTTTTAGTGCCATTCGAACGCTATAACGGGAACTCAAGCCCGAACCCTGGTCCAGTCCGTTGCTGGCTCACGCGCTGGTTCTCGAGCTGGTCCGTCGGGTCCGCGTCAGACCCGCGTGGACTTGCTCGTTTGAGACACGTCCTCAGATCCAGTCTCTAGCCTTCCAAGCCTCTTAGAACGTTGAAGTCAATGTTAACACTATTATATACTTGTGAGTCAGGTTAGGTATAGGCGCTCCCGCCATTTCGCAGCGTCGCACGACCAGGAGCGCAGCAGCGCGCTCGCCGTCACGCATTGGCGGGATCGCGACCACGAAATAGCGCGATCGCGGCCCCGCCCCGCCTACGCGCGATCGCGGCCCCGCCTACGCGCGATCGCGGCCCCGCCTACACGCGATCGCGGCCCCGCCAACGCGCGATCGCGGCCCCGCCTACGCGCGATCGCGGCCCTGCATACGCGCGATCGCGGACCCGCATACGCGCGCTCGCGTCGCCGCTTTAGTGCAGGTCATTGAACGTCGCAGCGGCTGCGCGTGCGCTTGTGGAGTTGTGCTATGAGGCCGAGGACGATGGGTTTTGAGTAATGTTTGCTAGGGGGGGGCCTGATTGTCTAGGTATTTGCCATAAACCTTCTGGTGATACCCTAGATTTTATTTATTTCCATGCTAGACATACACTAACATGCTTGTTGCTCTAATGACCTACGCCATAGACATTTGTTTTTGGCAAAAGAACGTGTAGCATGCTTGGACGCCATATAATGTGTGCAATGTTCCATAGTCTAAGGCACAGTTGAACAAGAAGTATATTATAATTGTAACATGAATTTACAATGAAGCAATTCAAACTTAACACCCATACCCTGCTGCTCTGTAGCAAGTTTTGACCCGACCCGACCCGACCCGTGGTGTAACCGACCCGGAAACGGGTCACAAATACCCGTGCCTACGGGGCGGGTCGGGTCATCAAAACAGAGTCAAACCCGACCCGCCGACCCGACCCGTCCCGACCCGTTTTGCAAACGGGTCGGCCTAGACGGGACGGGTCGGGCCGGGTCGGGTCAATTGCCCATGCCTTTGACGTCAGGTTTGAGGTCAGGTTTGACATCAGGTTTGACGTCATGTTTGACATCAGATTTGACGTCAGATTTGACGTCTGGTTTAACGTCAGGTTTGACGTCAGGTTTGACGTCAGGTTTGAGGTCAGGTTTGAGGTCAGGTTTGACATCAGGTTTGAGGTCAGGTTTGAGGTCAGGTTTGACATCAGGTTTGAGGTCAGGTTTGACGTCAGGTTTGACGTCAGGTTTGAGGTCAGGTTTGACGTCAAGTTTGAGGTCAGGTTTGACGTCAAGTTTGAGGTCAGGTTTGACGTCAGGTTTGAGGTCAGGTTTGACGTCAGGTTTGAGGTCAGGTTTGACGTCAGGTTTGAGGTCAGGTTTGACGTCAGGTTTGACATCAGGTTTGACGTCAGGTTTGACGTCAGGTTTGACGTCAGGTTTGAGGTCAGGTTTGACGTCAGGTTTGAGGTCAGGTTTGAGGTCAGGTTTGACGTCAGGTTTGAGGTCAGGTTTGAGGTCAGGTTTGACGTCAGGTTTGAGGTCAGGTTTGAGGTCAGGTTTGACGTCAAGTTTGAGGTCAGGTTTGACGTCAGGTTTGACGTCAGGTTTGAGGTCAGGTTTGACGTCAGGTTTGAGGTCAGGTTTGAGGTCAGGTTTGAGGTCAGGTTTGAGGTCAGGTTTGACGTCAAGTTTGAGGTCAGGTTTGACGTCAGGTTTGAGGTCAGGTTTGACGTCAGGTTTGAGGTCAGGTTTGAGGTCAGGTTTGAGGTCAGGTTTGAGGTCAGGTTTGAGGTCAGGTTTGACGTCAGGTTTGAGGTCAGGTTTGAGGTCAGGTTTGAGGTCAGGTTTGACGTCAGGTTTGACGTCAGGTTTGAGGTCAGGTTTGACGTCAGGTTTGAGGTCAGGTTTGACGTCAAGTTTGAGGTCAGGTTTGACGTCAAGTTTGAGGTCAGGTTTGACGTCAAGTTTGAGGTCAGGTTTGACGTCAAGTTTGAGGTCAGGTTTGACGTCAGGTTTGACATCAGGTTTGAGGTCAGGTTTGAGGTCAGGTTTGACATCAGGTTTGAGGTCAGGTTTGACGTCAAGTTTGAGGTCAGGTTTGACGTCAGGTTTGAGGTCAGGTTTGAGGTCAGGTTTGAGGTCAGGTTTGACGTCAAGTTTGAGGTCAGGTTTGACGTCAAGTTTGAGTCCAGGTTTGACGTCAGGTTTGACATCAGGTTTGACGTCAGGTTTGACATCAGGTTTGAGGTCAGGTTTGACGTCAAGTTTGAGGTCAGGTTTGACATCAGGTTTGAGGTCAGGTTTGACGTCAGGTTTGAGGTCAGGTTTGACGTCAGGTTTGACGTCAGGTTTGAGGTCAGGTTTGAGGTCAGGTTTGACGTCAGGTTTGAGGTCAGGTTTGAGGTCAGGTTTGACGTCAGGTTTGACGTCAGGTTTGAGGTCAGGTTTGACATCAGGTTTGACGTCAGGTTTGAGGTCAGGTTTGACGTCAGGTTTGACGTCAGGTTTGACGTCAGGTTTGAGGTCTGGGGGGAAGTGATGGGGGGAACTGATGGGGAAACTGATGGGGGAAACTGATGGGGGGAACTGATGGGGGAAGCCGACGAGGGAAACTGATGGGGGAAACGTATGGGGGGAAAGCCGACGAGGGAAGCTGATGGGGGAAGCCGACGAGGGAAGCGGATGGGGGAAGCCGATGGGGGAAACCGATGGGGGAAGCCGATGGGGGAAGCCGATGGGGTAAGCCGATGGGGGAAGCCGACGAGGGAAACCGATGGGGGAAACGTATGGGGGGAAAGCCGACGAGGGAAGCCGATGGGGGAAGCCGATGGGGGAAACCGATGGGGGAAACCGATGGGGGAAACCGATGGGGGAAACCGATGGGGGAAACCGATGGGGGAAACCGATGGGGGAAACCGATGGGGGAAACCGATGGGGGAAACCGATGGGGGAAACCGATGGGGGAAACCGATGGGGGAAACCGATCGGGGAAACCGATGGGGGAAACCGATGGGGGAAACCGATGGGGGAAACCGATGGGGGAAACCGATGGGGGAAACCGATGGGGGAAACCGATGGGGGAAACCGATGGGGGAAACCGATGGGGGAAACCGATGGGGGAAACCGATGGGGGAAACCGATGGGGGAAACCGATGGGGGAAACTGTGTTGCAGCTGTACCCCCGTATGGTGCCCTCGCCTCCCCCCCCCCCCCCCCCCCCCCCCCCTCCTTTCCCCCCCCCCTATCCCTTCATCCATGCCCTTGTATCCTATCGTTGTTGCAACCTTGTTTTCCTTCCTTCTCCATGTCCCATTGCTCTCTATGGCAGCATCCGTGGGGGAAGCAGTGGCAGCAACAGCAGTGCAGCGCATCCACATGGTAGGTGTGATGGGAAACTGTTGGGGAAAATGATGGGGAAACTGATGGGAAACTGATGGAAACTAATGGGGAAACTAAGGGGAAATTGATGGGGAGACTGATGGGGAAACTGATGAGGAACTGACGAGTGGAACTGATAGGGGAAATTGATGGGGGAAACTGATGGGGGAAACTGATGGGGGAAACTGATGGGAAATGGATGGGGGAACTAATAACTGATGGTACAAACTTAGCAGGAAACTTAACAGGAATATCTAATTTGATTATTTTATTATCTTTTACAGTTTAAACATGTCCGTTTCACAGTTTGTAGGCTATGCATTGGGAGCACCATAGTGAGATAAACCATATATCAAATCCAATTTACCTAGGCAATTAACTAGAATAAGGATTTAATTGATCATTCTTCTTTTAAATCGAGTCCGTTTACAAGGAGCAGAGATATGGTAACGGATGATGCAAACAGACAGCCCAGAGGGCAGGTTGATGCAGATGCGGGTTGATGCAGATGCAGAAGGGTTGATGCAGATGCAGAAGGGTTGATGCAGATGCAGAAGGGTTGATGCAGATGCAGAAGGGTTGATGCAGATGCAGAAGGGTTGATGCAGATGCAGAAGGGTTGATGCAGATGCAGAAGGGTTGATGCAGATGCAGAAGGGTTGATGCAGATGCAGAAGGGTTGATGCAGACGCAGATGGGTTGTTAATGCAGCAGATGGAGGGTTGATGCAGATGGGTTGATGCAGATGGCACACACATGCACTCCAAAATCACAATCATGCTGGCACACCCCACAGGCACATCCACATGCACATCCACATACACCCACACATGCTGCCACAACTCATTTTCACACACCCACATGCACATACCCCCACACACATGCACATGCACATGCGCACACATACACACACACACACACACACACACACACCCCACCATGACCTCACCATACACACACAAATGAACACACCACACATGCTGCCACCACATGCTTCCAACACATGCCGCCTCCTTGCAGTTTGTCTTCATTCCTCTGCAGAACAGCACAAACAAGCAGAATGAAACATAGCAGCAGCAATTACAGTATGAAAGCAAATCACAGTATCTACAAATCCACTCACCATTGCCACAGGATTGCAGAACGCATCCTCTCCCCTATACTCTCCCCGCTCGCCCTCCCACTAAGCACTCCTACTCTCCTCCTTCCCCCTCACCTCTCTGCTCCCCCACTCTGCCCCACTCCACACCCTTGCCCCACTCCACACCCTTGCCCCACTCCACACCCTTGCCCCACTCCACACCCTTGCCCCACTCCACACCCTTGCCCCACTTATCTCCCCCAACTCTGCTGCCCACTCCACATTGAACTCGTCCTACTCCCTCCCACTAAGTACCAAACAACTCGCATAGTTACAACCTCCCTTGTTGCACCCTACTCCCTTGCTCCCCTCCCCATTCCCGCTCGGCCCTGCTTCCCTCCACTCCCCCTCGCCCCTGCTCCCCCCTCCACTCTCATCCCACTCCCCCCACTCTCCCTCGCCCCTGCTCCCCTCCACTCTCCACCCCACCTCTCCCCCAACTCTGCTGCCCACTCCACACTGCACTCGCCCAACTCCCTCCCACAGAGTACAAAACACCTCCCATAGTTACACCCTTCTTTGTTGCACCTTACTCCCCACTCCCTCTCCACTACCCCTCGCCCCTGCTCCCCTCCACTTCCCCTCGCCCCTACTCCCCCCTCCACTCTCCCTCCCTCACCCCTGCTCTCCTCCACTACCCCTTTTTCCCCTGTCTTCACTCTCCATCCCTCCCCTCCCTCTACTCTGCTCCCCAACCCACACTGTACTTGCACACTCTTTCCCCCCCAAAAGTACCCAACACCTCATTACGCACCCTAGTTACACCCTTAACCAAGCTGTAGTTCAGATTGCACAAGTTCTCAACTCTACTTCCCACTTGCTAAAGTATCAAACACCTCACATAGTTGCACCCTGATTGCATCCTTCACCCTAAACTGCTCTTTGCACAGCCAAATCCCACCCACTCATACCACATATCCACAGCATCCCATCCTCCTTGTAGCAGCACCACCCCTTGCAGCAGCACCACCCCTTGCAGCAGCAGCACCACCCCTTGCAGCGGCAGCACCACCCCTTGCAGCGGCAGCACCACCCCTTGCAGCAGCAGCACCACCCCTTGCAGCAGCAGCACCACCCCTTGCAGCAGCAGCACCACCCCTTGCAGCAGCAGCACCACCCCTTGCAGCAGCAGCACCACCCCTTGCAGCAGCAGCACCACCCCTTGCAGCAGCAGCACCACCCCTTGCAGCAGCAGCACCACCCCTTGCAGCAGCAGCCGAAGCGCGCAACACTCCCACCAGAAACATTCAGCAATAATAACCACTCCTATGCACCAACAGAACCAAACACCGATCACTTGCACCAGTCTAACAAAAACTTTTACATGTATTAGAACTGTACTACACAAAACAAAATAATCTGACAAAAATAGTGTCTAAAAAAGGCAAGCACAAGAACACGAAAATCCAAGCATGTTAACAAAAAGAAAATGGCGATTAAGGACTCAGGGTGCTGCCTTGGGATGCCACGTCAGCCTGCTGAGAACGAAGCCAAAGCTCCTTCCAGAGGGACTGTCAACAGTGTGGCCTGCTGTGCACCCATGTGCCCAGGGGAAATGCCCCCATGTGGGTGCTCCCAACAATTACCCGCTGAAATGCGGGTGAATTGCGCACATGGGTCACAACTCAAGAGCAGTGACTCATCATTGTCCAAAAAGGGGATAGGGGGATGCGTGGAAGGGATTGTATGGGAGGGATTGTATGGGAGGGATAAGTGGTAAGAATAGGTGGGAAGGATAGGAGGGTAAAGTAGACAGTTTCTGGCAAGAAGGTATATAAGAACGCTATTATCATCTGCCGGTTTGGAGATAGCTGGATGATAGTTAAGATAATAGGAGAAACTACTCATTTAATGGAGGGAATAGGATAGAGGAAATGACTGGGACCCAAGAGGCAAAAATACGGTTAACCAGGAATGAAGAGGAATGCATAGGGATGTACAGGTTGGTATGTAGTGTAGTAGGCATAGCGGAAGTGGAAAACTGAGGAGCATGGAAAGAAGCGGATATGAGGGACTGACGGCTTTTGTGTATGTGTAGGGCTTATCGCCTGGTTATTACTCACATCCGCTGGTAAATATTCACATCGGCTGGTTAATCTTCCCACAGGTGTTTCCTTTCCTCAGCTCTTCACCCATCTCCCTCTCATCTGCCTTGCTACTCTTACCCTCCAGACTCTCTACACTCTCTCCACACTCTCAGCTACTCAAGGCTCTAACCCTCTGTACTTCAACTTCGCTCAATGTGAAACTCCACATCCGCCTCTTCTCCCTCTCAAATCCCCACCTCCACCTCTAAACTGTGCAGCACTCTGTTCACGACTCTTAACTACATCACTCCAGCTCAGTGTATAAGCCACTCCTTACTCTAACCAATCATATGCCCAACTCCTCACTTTCTCTGAAAAATTGCTCTCTTATCTGTATCTGATGCAGATCCTGTTGCTTGCTCCAATAAGGTTGCCCCACTTATTCCCATTGCCCGCTGCTTGCTGCACACACTGCTACTTCCATTTCTCTCCCCTACCGCTTCCGCGCTGCACCACTCTGCACCACACTGCTCAAAACCACCAACTGCACACTACGAACGTTGGCCGCTCGATCCCGCCCCACCACACAGCACCGCCCATCACCACAAGGAAATGTTGGAAGCACCAAGACACCCACACTGACCGCTTAAGAAGACTCCTGCCGTTGCTCAAAACGCTGCCCCAACACGTAGCACTGCACACCATCGCACAAGACCACAACGAAGGAACTGCTGCTGCCAAGGACCTTCACACCTGACCTTCGGCTGCTGCTAAGTGCCCTCCACTCTTCAAAACCTTCAGCAGCCACTCGCACCCATGCCCACCACCGTAGCACCGCACAGCACCAACTTTAACCACGAAAATAAAGCTGAAAGAGCCAGAACGCCCACACCTGACCAATAGTCGCTTGAGAAGACCCCCTTCCTGCGATTTCCCTCTCCGCTGTTGCTTGAAATGCTTTGCTGCCCCTGCCTCACCACACACCACACCATGTACGTCCACAAAAGAACTTGCCGCTACAAAGACAGTCCCCTACCTCCTCTTCCTCCCTGCTCCAATGACAATTGTTTTGGCTTCCTCCTCTGCTCACCACACAGCCCGCACGGAACCACAAAGCACCACACAGCACCAACTCTAATCCGGCAGGAAAGCTGCAACAGTTAAAAACGCCCACACCTGACCACCAGTTGCTTGAATATTCCCTTTCGCTGATATTGCTTGAAAAGCTCCTCTACTCCTTCCACCCTAAACAGTTAATCCTCAGCTTCTTTTAGTACGCCAGAAATCGCAGACAGCCACTCCCTCTCCTGCCCACCACACAGCACCACAGAGCACCGCACAGCACCAACATCGACCTGGCAGAAAAGCCACAGAGCCAAAATGCCCACACATGACCACCACAAGCCGCTAGAATAGTCCCAGGCACTCCTCTTGCTTACTGAACAGTTCAGCCGCTCCTGCCCAACCATGCAACACCACACTCCACCACACAGCACCGTATACAGCCCACAAAGAACGAACTGCTGCAAGAAGCGCCACTCTTGATTGGTGAGTCAGTTTCACTCGCCCTCAAACCATATGCCACGAACCCATACCCTGTACCTGTAATCAGTTGCACCAAGACCCAAGACTCGGCTCCTCTGAGCTCTCCTGTTCACCACCGCAGCAGCAGCAGCACCACCACCACACGGACGGAGACCAAACACCAGCGAAACTTAAAGAAAGGCAACTGTTAGACTGCTGCTACCTGAACTGCCAGCTGCAATCTTGACAAGTTCGACCGGATTCGTTAAGGAGCCTCCTCTTTTTCCACCTCTTCTCCTCCTGTTCA